CCTTTAGATATATACCCCAAGTGGTATTACTGGGTCTTGAGGAAGGTTGTTTCCTAATTTTCTGATAAATCGCCACACTGACATCCAAAGGGGTTGTACCAGCTTGCATTCCCACCAGCAATGCAGAAGTGTTCCCTTTTCCCCACTAACTCTCCAGCATAAGTTGTCAGCAGTGTTTTTGATCTTGGCCATTCTTACAGGTGTAAGATGGAATCTCAGAGTTGTTTTGATTTGTATTTCTCTAATGACTGAACATTTCCTTAAGTGGAAAGACAAGGTTTTCATAGCTCAGGGGTTACAATTTTCCAAATGGGGAGAAATAGGTGGGATTACGGAAGCAGAACATAAGAAGCAATGAGAATAAGGTAATCACAACCTAGGTGGCCATCTAACTTTTTTAAACAAAGTTGCAAGACGGTTACAAGCAACTTTTGAAACAAAGACATGATTGCCATTCCTGGAACAGTCTGTTCAGAACCATTTGTAGTTAAGGTTACAGGTAGGGCGTTGCTCACTGCTTGAGAAACAGAGGTTTAATCATAAACCGGAGTGAACCTAGTTTGTCTTTACTATAAGATACTTTTTTAAAAAGTTTATTATTTCATAATTACACACACACATCTCTAAATTTACTTATTTTTTATAGTATGTACATTGGTGCTTTGCTTGCATGTCTGGATGAGGGTGTCAGATCCCCTGGGACTGGAGTTACAGACAGTTGTATGCCACCATGTAGATGCTGGGAATTGAACCTAGGTCCTCTGGAAGAGCAGTCAGTGCTCCTAACCACTGAGCCATACTTTAAGCCTAAAATGGAGGCAGGCTGGTTCTTCAACTGTAACCTTGATTATAACATTATCATTACTGAGTAACGTTCTTAGTAGTCACAGCAACAGTGAGTGGCTGTGGGGTGCCAAGTCCTTTGGGACACCAGGGACCTTGCGTTTGTTTGCGTTTGTTCTTTCCTTTGTTCCTGTAAGACAGGTCTTCTTCTGCAAATGCCACCTATGAGATACAGAGAAGACACCTCAGTAAAACCACACTCCAGCTGATCTTAGCTTGGCCTGGTGTTCAAGTCTGGGTTCTGTGGGGCTCAGCACTGGCAACAGCTGTTAGCCAGCTGTGGCTTGCCCTCACCTAGACAGGATCAGGAGCAGAGAAGCTTTGGCCTTGGCAACTGTTGGCACAGGTTGGCAACTGGTTAAATTCGGAGGTGGCACGGAACGCACTACCCTTCGCAAGATCCTCTGCTGTTCCTGGTTCTGACTAACAAGAAGTTTCTCAAGCTTCTCTTATGCTAATCTTAAGCCCTAAAGCAGCTGCTGTTCCTGCCAAAAGTCCACTGTGTCCTGAGAAAAGACCCGAATTACAAATAGGTGGCTATTAACAGCGGCTGTTGTTACAGAGCGAGGCGACCAGCCATCGCTGGGCACTCTGAGCCTTGAATGTCACTTGTTATTTTACTTGGAGAGTCTGGCTGATGTTATCACCCAATTTTATCTTCATGATCTCAGAAGTATCTGCTCTCAGAGGACACAGGGTGACAGGTAGTCAGGCCTCAGTGGACAACCCGTGCTGTGGGCAGTCTAGGGGCTGAGACTGGCAAAAGGCTCTATTTCTCAAGACTCAGTTTGCCTCTTCTCTTAAATAAGTCACTGTGTTATCATTATGAAAAGTCAGTTATACATTGTTTTATCTGATTCTTTAGCCTTCTCTCAAGGAAAGTAGCAGTGCTTGACTTTGAACTCTGCAACCAAAGTCAATTGCTGAAGTGTTTAATAGGATCTGGGTCACCTGAAACACATGCTTTAACTCCTAAGTTTCTGGTTAGTTTTGTGTTATCTTGACATAACCTAGAGTCCTTTCAGCAGAGAGAAACTCAATTGAGAAAACGCCTTCACCAGATTGACCTGGTACATTTTCTTGAATGACGATGTGGGAGGGGGAGGGCCCAGCCCATTGTGGGCGTGGCCACACCCTGGACTGCTGGTCCTGGATTCTATAAGAAAGCAGGTTGAACAAACCATGGAGAGTGAGCCAGTAACCAGCACTCCTCCAAGGCCTCTGCATCAGCTCCTGCCTCCAGGTTCCTGCCCTGTTTGAGTTCCTGTCCCAACTTCCTTCAGTGATGGGCTGTTGATGTGGAAGTGGAATAAACCCTTTCCCCCTAAATCATTTATTATTGTGCTGTTCATCAGAGTCACAGAAGCCTGAGACTCTCTGTGTCCTCATCTCAACGGTGGTCTCCTAGCGTCTGTCCTGTAGAGTTGTCCCTTGGGAAATACCCAGTTCCCTACACAGTGTCCAGCCTATAGCTTGTCGTTCAGTCACCTCACGGTTTGTGCTAAGTGTTCACCACCGACAGCTAGAAGAGCTGGAGACCAGAAAACAAAATACTGGGGCAAGGAGGTTTGGCCCGTGACACTTGTTCCCAGCTATCTTACCCCAGACACACGTGAACGACTACTGTCCTATTTCCTTGAAAGCTTCCTACATGCTGGACAGTATACCTCCCGAGGGACTCAATCCTTACTGGGACTCTACTCTTGAAGAGGGGAACCAAAGCTGGAAGGCACAAAGAGCTAGGCAGGCCAGGATCATCTCTGTAGAAGGGTTCCAGCTAGAGCCCTTGTGCCTGCAGACCCAGACAGCGGAAAGAGCCATGAAGGATGCCTTCCCAGTCCTGAAATAAGCACACTTGCCGCTTGGCTGTCAGGGCTAATTTTAGAAACACCGACACAGTGAGAGTTTTCTGTTCCAACTTGAAAGGGCCCAAGCCTGCTCCTCTGCGTGTGTGCATTAGTGAAAGATGAGGCTGCACTATGGCCGCAATGTACCAGACTCAAAAATGCTCCAAGATCTGAGTCCCAAAGATCCCCAGATTTCTGGCCTCTCCCCCACGACTTTGCTTCCCTGGAGCCTCTCCTGCCCAGTGCAAGTCACGTGGTCACTTTCCTTAGCTGGGAGACATTGAAACCCCACTTGCCTTTCCACTGAGCCTCCTCGGCAGGCCACCAAGTACTCTCTCTTCAAACACCCTTGTTTTTTTGTCCAGACAGGGTGTCACTGTGTAGCCCGAGCCAGCCTTGAACTCACCATGTGGACCAGGCTGTCTTTGAACTCTTTTTGTTGTTGTTGTTGTTGTTTTGTTTGTTTGTTGTTTTGTTTTTCAAGACAGGGTTTCTCTGTGGCTTTGAAGCCTGTCCTGGAACTAGCTCTTGTAGACCAGGCTGGTCTCAAACTCACAGAGATCTGCCTGCCTCTGCCTCCCGAGTGCTGGGATTAAAGGCGTGCGCCACCACCGCCCAGCTTCCGCTGAGATTTGCCTTGACCCTTTCATCCGCCGACCAGAACCTCAACACCCAGTGTGTAACTGGCATCCACTGGTCAGACTGTCACTCACTGGGGAGAAGACTGGTTCTGGGTATTAAAAATTCCAGCTATAATTCAGCAGTGAGTGTGTTGTGTACCTGTGCACGTGTAGAAGCCCGAGAATAACTTCTCGAATCAGGTGTTATTCCTCAGGAGCCATCGGCCTTGCTTTCTGGTTTGGTTTGGTTTTTAGAGACATGGTTTCTCTGGGTAATGGTCCTGGCTGTCTTGGAACTCACTTTGTAGACCAGGCTGGCCTTGGACTCACAGAGTTCTGCCTGCCTCCCGAGTGCTGGGATTAAAGGCGTGCACCACTATACCCTGCCCAGACTCAGATATTAAAGTGTTTGCAAAGCAAGCACTTTACTGACTGAGCCATCTCTTTATTTCTTGGTCCTTGTCTGTATATTTTTAAAAACTCTTGTTTTATGTGTATGGGGTTCTTGCCTACACATGTGTCTATGCACCTTTTGTGAGCCTGGTGGCCAGAGAGGCAGAAGAGGGCATCAGATCCCCCAAATATGGAGTTATGGATGATTGTGAGCTGCTCTGTGGGTGCTGAGCATCAAACTCCTGGTCCTCTAGAAGAACAGCCAGTGCGCTTAAGTGCTGAGCCATCTCTGGAGCTAGGTGATAACAGCACAAGTTTTAAAACCGGATGAGACTGATGACACTCTCAAGTGACCGTCTTGTTCTGGAGTAGATAGTAAGATTGTGCCAGCCCGGGGCCTGTCCGGACGCTGGCGGAAGCACAAGCTACCTCTGTCCTAGTGTGTGGTGTGGTGCTACCTGTTGCAAGCTGTTTCCACGGGGGAAAAGCAAGCACACTCCATCAGAGGGTGGCAGGCGGGGCTCAACTGCATCTTCCACCCAACATGGCACTGTCCCTGTTTGCCACTCTGTGTTCTGGTCAGCCTTTGACACAGCCTAGAGCCAGCTAGAAGGGGTGTCACTAGATGGATCGCTCAGATGAGACTGGCCTGTGGTCCTGGCTGAGGGGGACGTCTTTGCTGGCTAACTGATGTGGGAGGGTCCAGTCCATGTGGGTGGTCCCGTTTGCTAGGCAGATGGTCCCGGGCTGTCTAAGAAAGCCACCTAAGCATGATCCCGAGAGGAAGCTAGGGGGCAACGTTGCTCCATGATATCACCAGCCGGAAGAAAGGTGATTAGTCACCTGGAGCTTGTCAAATGGGTTCCCAGCCCTACACTGGACAGCAGTGACTTTGTTTCCGTCCAACCGCGGGACAGCAGAAGAGCAGACGCAATGACACCCCCCTGTAATCCCAGAACTCAGGAGGTAGAGGTGAGAGGATCAGAAGTTCAAAGCCAGCCTCAGCTACACATGAAGTTCAGCACCAACCTGGGATACATGAGCCCCTGCCTCAGAAGAAAAGAAGCTCTTGGAAATCGTTGTAGGATTAGCACATCTCAGAAACCCCACCCGTGTCTATGTGTGGCACAACCTGCAGGGACTCAGGATCCTTACTGCCATCCAGTGGCTGTGCTCAGGTGCCGTCTTTGCTTATCCTAGAGTTTACTAGGCCCCTGCTGTGGTAGGCACCACTCTCCGCGCGCAATGTTGAGCCCAGAAAAAGCCCAGGCACGAGTGTCCCTTCTCTTGTTTCCAGGGATCAGCGGTGGGCCCCTGGGAAACCACTACAGGCTGAAGCAGTTTCACTTCCACTGGGGAGCAGCGAACGCTTGGGGCTCGGAGCACGTGGTGGATGGCCACGCCTACCCAGCTGAGGTTTGTAAATGCCAACAGCACACGCATGGGTTCTCTGTCAGGCCTACTACAGCGATCATCACTCCCCCCTCCCACCCCACCCCACCACACACACACACACACACACACACACACACACACACACACAGAGTTCCTAGACCTAAAGGATTTCCAGAGACCTGGGGCTGCCTCTGTGCCAATTAGAACAATAGGAGCAGCTGGAGCAGCTGAATCATGGCCGCCTTGTCCTGGGGTGGAGGGCAGGTGCGGCAGGTGTGGACAGAAGAGACAGGTTCTGAGAAGTCATGTAGTTCGCTGAAACTCGGTGCTCAGCTGTGGGCTCGCTCCATTGAAGGACTAGTGGCCTCATGTCCACCTAGAACGAAAACCTCCACAGTAGGATCTCCTCTCCCCTTCCTCTTCCTTCCCATCCTCTCCTTTCTCTCCCTTCTCCCCTTCCTCCTCCTCCCTTTCTCCTCTTCCCCTTACCCCTCCACCTCCTTCTCCTGCTCCTGCTCCTCCTCTGCAGAGCTGAAGATGGCACCCATCCGTGAGCCACACCCCCAGCCAGAGATCATCTTCTCAAAGGCCATATTTTCAGCATCCCAAAGCGGGGCCACCAGAGAAAGTTAAGGAAAAGAGCATTAGGCATTGGTTCTGAAGTTGTGGCAGCCAACAGGCAGTGCCTGGAAACCGCCCAACATGAAAAATTCCCAACACGGAGAGAAATGGAGAAACCACGGGGTTTCCATCTCAGCTCTGGAAGGGCCAACTTGCCGTATTCACATTGTCAATCCTCCGTCTACCCTCCTCTCTAGGTGTTGCCTCTGCTGCCCCTCTCATCTCTGTCGTCGTCGTCCCCTCCCCCCGCCCCATCCCTCTGCCTTCCTCTGCTCACCTTTTCAACATATTGACTTTCCATTTCATCAGCTTCTGGTCGTAGAAGTGAACCAGAGTCAAAGCCGCCGATGACGCCCAGTTCTTGTTCATTCCGAACTGGCAAACACTGCCACTAGAGGGCGCACAGTCTCTCTCTCTCTCTCTCTCTCTCTCTCTCTCTCTCTCTCTCTCTCTCTCTCTCTCCCCCCCCCTCCTTAGTAATCCTTCCTCACAGTTCTCTCTTTTTTTTTTAATATTTATTTATTTATTATGTATACAATATTCTGTCTGCGTGTATTCCTACAGGCCAGAAGAGGGCACCAGACCTCATTACAGATGGTTGTGAGCCACCATGTGGTTGCTGGGAATTGAACTCAGGACCTTTGGAAGAGCAGGCAATGTTCTTAACCGCTGAGCCATCTCTCCAGCCCCCTTCCTCACAGTTCTCTAGCTGCGACCTTGTTTTTGTGCAGAGACTTGTCTACTGAAGGCCCCTGTGGTTGAAACATTGTTGATTAAAATGAGAGGTCCTGGGCCCTCTCCAGCCTCCCTGGTTCACACTCAGACCCTCCCTGTGACCACGTGGAGGTGAGAAGGGAGAAAGGAAGGCAGGCCTAGTACAAATGGAGGCCAGAGGTCTGCAGACCAAGACCCTCAGCCGAGATATCTGATGGAAATGAGTGCTCCAGTAGACAGGGCAAGTCTACCCTGCTGGTCCTAGACTCCAGATCCCATGCCAGGAGCATCCATGCTTCCTGGGAGTGAGAACCCAAGTTTCCAGCAGAGTTCTGGATGGCAACAGGCAGAGCTTGCTGACTGAGGACTCATGGTTGGGCACAGTTAAAAATGCCTCTACCACAGCCTTGGGCTTAGGGGATACATGTGTCCCTGCTGTATCCAAGGGGCTCTGAAACGCCTTCTGATAATGCTATCATATTCACATGGAACCCACACACATCCTGAGTCCACCATCCTCACCTCTAGGTCACGAGCACACTGTGAGTACCACATGCTGATGCTATTTGTTTCATTTCAAGGAAATCAAGGAAAGCACAGACACAGCATTTTTATTCCAAACAGTTTGTCTGTTATTAGTTCAACAGACGTAGACTCTGTGGGTGAGAAGGAACAACTGGATACATACTCGGACTCCCCGAGGTGAAGCACAGTTTTAACAGTATAATAATTTCCAGTCAGGGCCCATGGTTCCCAGAAGTCAAGGCTACCTCCCTCTTCCCTCCCCTCCCTCCATCCATTCCCATCCTCTTGCAAAAAATGTCACCCTGTGAAGTCCATAATCCCACATCCGGGAAATGGGAGAATTACAAAATAAAGACAAGGCAGAGGTCACAAGGCAGAGAATTACAAAATAAAGACAGGTCAGGTGCCAGTAGCATACCGAGGATTTGCCTCACTGAGAAATCATTCAAAGCCGACAGTCGTGTGTCTTATCTGGTGATCCTTGTTCCAACTGACTCACAGATACAGGGGGAAAAAAAATCTCATTTCTGTCTTTCCAACTCAAAAGATTTGGGATGGCTACTGGTGACTGTTAAGTTGGCAGGGGATTCTTCTGATTATGCTCACTTTATGAAAAAAAACCTCTATCTTCTTTAGTTTTCTGTTCCTGCAATAAAACACCATGACTACCACCTTTGGTGGCACACATCTTTAATACCAGTATCCAGAGGCAGAGGCTTGTGGATCTCTGAGTTCAAGGTCAACCTGGTCTACAGAGCTAGTTCTAAGACAGTGAAATCTACACAGTAAAATCCTGTCTCAAAAAAAAAAAAAAAAAAAAAACACCAAAACCCAAAACAAAACCAAAAACCCACCATGACCAAGTCAATTATAAAAGGAAGGGCTTAAAAAAAAAAAAGGAAGGGCTTATTTTGGGGGGTTATGGTTACAGAAAGGTCATGTTAGCAAGTGGCAGGCATAATCACAGGAGCAGAAGCTGAGAACACACATCTTTTTTTATACATTTTTTTTTTTTTTTGGTTTTTCGAGACAGGGTTTCTCTGTGGTTTTGGAGCCTGTCCTGGAACTAGCTCTTGTAGACCAGGCTGGTCTCGAACTCACAGAGATCCGCCTGCCTCTGCCTCCCAAGTGCTGGGATTAAAGGCGTGCGCCACCACCGCCCAGCTCTTTTATACATTTTTTATTGATATTTATTGAGCTCTACATTTTTCTCTGCTCTCCTCCCTGCCTCTCCCCTCCCCTCTTCAGTCCTCCCCCTAGGTCCCTATGCTTCCAATTTACTCAGGAGATCTTGTCTTTTTCTACTTTCTACTTCCCATGTAGATTATATCTATGTAAGTCTCTCTTCGTGTCCTCATTGTTGTCTAAGTTCTCTGGAATTATGATTTGTAGGCTGGCTTTCTTTGCTTTATGTTTAAAAACCACTTATGAGTGAGTCCAATGTGATAATTGTCTTTCTGCGTCTAGGTTATCTCACTCAAAATAATGTTTTCTAGCTCCATCCATTTGCCTGCAAAATTCAAGATGTCGTTATTTTTTTCTGCTGTGTAATACTCCATTGTGTAAATGTACCACATTTTCCTTATCCATTCTTTGGTCGAGGGGCATTTAGGTTGTTTCCAGGTTCTGGCTATGACAAACAAAGCTGCTATGAACATAGTTGAGCACATGTCCTTGTGGCACGATTGAGCATCCTTTGGATATATACCCAAAAGTGGTATTACTGGGTCTTGAAGAGGTTGTTTCCTAATTTTCTGATAAATCGCCACACTGACATCCAGAGGGGTGTACCAGCTTGCATTCCCACCAGCAATGCAGAAGTGTTCCCTTTTCCCCACAACCTCTCCAGCATAAATTGTCATCAGTGTTTTTGATCTTGGCCATTCTTACAGGTGTAAGATGGAATCTCAGAGTTGTTTTGATTTGCATTTCTCTGATGACTAAGGATGTTGAACATTTCCTTAAGTGTCTTTCAGCCATTTTAGATTCCTCTGTTGAGAGTTCTCTGTTTAGGTCTGTACTCCATTTTTTTTATTGGATTATGTGATCTTTTGGTGTCCAATTTCTTGAGTTCTTTGTCTATTTTGGAGATCGTCTGATATGGGGTTAGTGAAGATCTTTTCTCATTCTGTAGGCTGTCATTTTGTCTTGTTGACTGTATCCTTTGCTTTACAGAAGCTTTTCAGTTTCAGAAGGTCCCATTTATTAATTTTCTCTCTCTCAGTGTCTGTGCTGCTGGGGTTCTATTTAGGAAGTGGTTCCCTGTGCCAATGTGTTCAAGTGTACTTCCCACTTTCTCTTCTGTAAGGTTCAGTGTGGCTGGCTTTATGTTGAGGTCTTTGATCCATTTGGTCTTGAGTTTTGTGCACGGTGATAGATACGGGTCTATTTTCATTCTTCTACATGTTGAGATCCAGTTATGCCAGCACCACTTGTTAAATACGGAGAGCTCACATCTTTAAACACAAGCATGAAGCAGCAAGAGCAAATTGGAAAGGGTCTTTAAACTCTCCTCCAATGACACATTCCCCACTTCTAACAAGGACACCCTCTTAAACCTCCCCAAGCAGCACCACCCACTAGGGACCAAGTGTCCGAATGCCTGAGCCCGTGGGGGACATTCTCCTGCAAACCATCACAAGTCTTCTGGACTGTGGGTGGGAACACGCCCTGGGGCAAGGTCCAGACTGTGAGAGTGGGAAGAGGTGATAAAACGAGAGAAATGCTCGCAGCTCGCACTGATCCCCTCTTCTGATTGATTGTGGGCGTGCTGTGACCTGCTGTCGCAGGTGTGATGTGACCAGTGTCGCAAGCTCCTGCCGCCTTGACTTCCCCCCGCGGGGGACAGTAACCTTGAACATGAACTGAAATAAACCCTTTCTCTTTTCAGTTGCTTCTGTTAGGGTGTTGTCTCACAGCCGCAGGAAGAGAAACTAAAGCAAGTCTTCTCTCTTGCTGCGAAGTTCTTGGCACCTACGGCCACCAGCACCTTATGTAGTGACATGACATTGTTGTGACCCACGGGTGTGCTGCACAGAGTGGCGTGACTGCTGTTTCTGCCGTATTACGACACATTAACATTCTTTGTTTCAGCTCCATTTGGTTCACTGGAATCCCGTGAAATATGAAAATTACAAGGAAGCCGCTGTGGGGGAGGATGGGCTGGCGGTGATTGGCGTGTTTCTGAAGGTAATGTCCGCTGGGCGTGACTCTCCCACTGAGAATGCCTGCATTTAGTCATCAAGAATGGCCTTTTGCGGGGGGGGGGACATGGAAGGCTTCTGTGACAACCCCACCCCCAACCCCAAAGTAACAGTCTAGATAGTAAGCCACGGAAGAGTAGGCTTCAGAAGTGTGACGGATGCTGAAGAGTAGCTCTCCACAGTCTATCGCTTCCGGAGGAGCAGTGGGAGAGAAGGGACTCAGTTCTATTTAAGGGACAGGCCACTGAGAATCTGAGCATGCTCTGGTGAGTATACAGATAACACAAAGAAAACTTGTATCGTCATCATCATCATCATCATCATTATTATTTTGGGGAGGGAGATCATAAGTGGGAGTGGACATGAAAGGACCAGGAAAGGATTGGGATTGGGATGCATGGTGTGAAACTCCCAGAGAATCAATCAATAAAAATGCTACGTCAAAAAACGACAAAGCAAACAGACACAAGAGAATAGTCTTTTGCACACTGTCCCCTGGAAGCAAGGTGTGTTTCCACTGTCTGCTGCCTCCCAGGCTAACGCTTGTATGTCTGTGCTGTGCAGCTCGGGGCCCGGCATGAGACTCTGCAGAGGCTGGTGGACCTCTTGCCAGACGTGAAACACAAGGTAAGAAGCACGAAACCAGCAAAGCGGGCACCGAAGTTGCCAGAGCAATGACTCACTGAGGAAAATTCAAAGAGTTTGGCAGAGGAGTAAGACTCAAGTCCTAGGAAGAGAAGTGAAGGGCCAAGTCCTAGGGCTCTTGTCACAAACTGAATTCGGAAGCTTTCCTGCTGAGCCCTGAGAGTGGTGGCAGATGCCTGTAATTCCAGCACTTGAAAAGGTTGAGACAAGAGGATTGCCAAAAGTTCAAAGCCAATCTGGACTACACAATGAGTTCCAGGCTAGCCTGGGTTACAGGATGAGAGCCTTCAAAAACAAACAAGAAAGAGGACTCAGATGTAGCTCAATCGGTAGAGAGCTCGCTGAGCATGTGTGAAGCCCTCGGTTCAACTCCCCGCACCTACATAAACTGGGTGTAGCAGGAGGCAGCTGCACTATTGGGAAGTGGAAGCAGGAAAATCAGAAGTTCAAGGTCATCCCTGGAATACTTGAAGCCGTGTCTTTGGAGGAGGAGTGACGTACATTCCGCCTGTTACTGCCAGTTTCCCCCTCATTGAGACAAGGGTGCTAGATTCCTTGGGACTCCCCCAAGTCCAGCCACCCAGGGAATCCTAATTATTCTTGCTTTGCTCAGACACGATGTCCAATAGTGATAATGTCTGTTCAAACAGGCAGAAGTGTTTACCTGCTGCGTGTGCAAACACAGGCCAGCACACTGCCAGCGCACCCTGGAGAAAGAGTTTAATGGAGACCAAGGGCAGAGCAGCCCTGGGGAGGGGAAGGCACAGCCTGGGTGACGCACAAGCTGGTGGCAGGGCCCTAGTTCATGCTAAAAGTGGCTGGGCATTCTTTGTATGCCTTGGTATGTTAGGTGGTCTCAAGAAAATGACAGAGTAATGGTGTCACTTTTCTTTAAGACAAACTCAGAAGGGACTTTGATGAGGAAATGGAAATTCCAAAGGGATAGGTTTATTTATTCAGTACCACAACAAAGAATTCTGAGGCAAAGGGAAGCAAGGTGGCCATTGGACATAGGGACATGGGGACAGAGGAGGCTTCCACCTGTCTTAACAATGGTCAGAGCTGCCCTGCAGGAAAGTGTGGCCGCCCCTTCCTCAAAGCTCACAGCAATGTTTGATCTGCCTCTTGCCTCCTCTTGATGTTGAGGTTCAGATGTCCCCTGGGATGGAGACAGATCCCCTACCCCCACTGTTCTGTCCACCGGTTCAGGAACACCTCAAGGCCAAGGTAGCGGGCGCCCAGCTCCTTGCCTCTTCCTTGCTGGCCCACAGCCAGAGCAAAGCTAGCTGGAAGGCGGGATGTTTTCCCAGCTGGCCTCTGCCTCCCATGAGGCTGGGAAAGAAAGGAGCTGGCTGGGGAGTGTTGTTTACTCAGGGGTCTGTTTTCCTTCCTTGGAAGGTTCTGGAGCTACTTTTCCCTATGGGCTGACCACAGGCGAGATGTGGGGTTTGGGACGTAGTTCTAGCCCAAATCATGCTAAGTCCCCTGAAAATAACCCACTGACTCTAGGACATAAAAGGACTTTAAGACATGAAAGGCCCAGTCTTGGAGGGCCCCTCAAGCTAACAAGTAGAAGACACTCAAGGACCTCTTGTTCGCGGCTCTCCGTCTGCAAGTTTAGGACTTCTAGGAGATTGGGTGTGTGGCAGAGAGCCTCAGTCAAGATATCCTCGGTCCAAGGCCCTGGATCTGCCAGGAAACTGTGTGGATTTGAGCCAGTCACTTAACTTCTCAGGGCCCCAGTTTCCCTATTTATGAGATTTGGATATTGAGAGTGGATTTATGAGGGCCTTGTTACCCAGATGGACGTGAGATAGGCACAGTGTTGGTCTTAAGTAAGGGGTTGGGTCCGGGCCCAGCTGTGGTGTGGCTGAAGAGTCCAGAAGGCTCACACAGGCTCGTCTACTGTTGTCAAGGGGTGGGCGGGTAGGACTATGGCCCAGGACAGGATGTCTCCAGCAGCATCACTAAACTCAGAGCTGTCTAAGATGGACTTGAAGAGTGTTCCTACCTTGGGGAGCTTGTCGGACTTTAAAAGGCTTGAAGCATGGTGGCTCTAGGGAGGATGGGAGAGGGAGGGAGGAGGTGGGGGTCAGGTGGCCTTGGGCTCCAATCCCAGCTCTGTGGCTCGTCTGTTCGGTAAGCCCTCCGTGAGGATGGTTCGCTGCAGCTATGGAACTACTCCCTTGGGGTTCCCCAGCCGAGAATACAGTGTCCTTGCTCAAGCAGGATGGGCTAGCTGGGGACCTAGACCTTGGACCCTAGAGCTAGGGACTCAATCAGCAGGATCCCTGACACCCTGCTTCCCCAGGCTGGCTGGGATTGCGTGAGCATACACCATCCTGCCCAGCTTTTTCACGTGTGTTCTGAGGGTAGAGCTCAGGGCCTCCAGCTTGCCAGGCAAGCTCTGTCCTGACTGAGCCACCCCTCCAACACTCTTTGCTTTTGGGCTTCAGTCACTAATTGTGACCACACCACATTCTTGGCATTCCTCAGGTCCCTCAGACTGCTTCTGCCTCAGGACATTTGCAACAGATAGAAACGCATCACAGACTGTTCCTTGGTGCCTTTCCTGTGTCTTTCCTCAGATGTCACCCCACTAGGCCTCTGGGACCATGCCTGTCAGAATACCCACTGCCTCCCATCTCACCCTGCTCCCCTAATTTGCTAATTTTCTCCATCACAAAGTCCCCAGTGCCAAGTGCTGATGCTTATTTACCCTGTGTGAGCTCCACAGAAGGAAGTAATCCTGTTCACTTTTCTGCATCTGTACCTATGACACCCAAGGCAAAGCTAGGCTCACAGGGGCTCAGACAAACACGAGTAAATGCATGTGTGCATGCATGAATGAGCAAACAGACGGTGACGTCCCATGAGAGCTTATAAAGGCTTTATGAAACCCAGGAAGCAAGCAAACATCAACTGTGAACTCGGGGCCTGAGGCAGAGCCAAGCTGACTCCTACTGTCTTAAGAGGAGGGCAGAGAGCGTGAGCAGCTGTGGGGCCAACCACCTGCTCCCTATGAGAGAGAAGAACACGAGGCTGGGTGGGGGCGGGTCCCGCAGCAGTACAGTTTTAGAGTCAGGCTGCTTGAGGGAGACAGGCAGTTGTTTTAAAACTAAGACTGGTTAGTGCAGCCACGGTTGAAAACACATGTTTTTGGGTCCTTAAATTAAAAACAAAAATGTCCATCTGATCCAGCAATCTCGGATATGGATATAGACCCTGATAACTGAAAGTAGCCGTGAAACAAACAGCTCCCACCCCAACCCATTCCGAAAGTATTCTTTAAGATAACCAAAAGGGAGGAGCAGGCCAAGTGTCCAGCGTGGGTGAATGCAAATGAAACATGGGCCAGCCACATGGTGGATGCTTTTCATTAGGCCATAACACAGAAGGACACACAGAACATCCTGGCTCACATAGGTCAACTTAGCACTCAGGAGGTGGAGGCAGGAGGATCAGGAGTTCAAAATTATCCTTGCCTAACATAGAGATTTTGAAGACACCCTCGGCTCCATAAGACCCTGTCTCAGCCTGGTGTTGTGCCTGTGTCTTTAATTCCAACACTCAGACTGGAGGCAGAGGCAAGCAAATCTCTGAGTTCAAGGTCAGTCTGGTCCAAGGAGTGAGTTACAGGACAGCCAGGGCTACGTAGAGAAACCCCATCTCCAAAAACAAAAACAAAAAACCCATAACAAACAAGCAAAAGTGGGGAGAGAAAGAAAGTCAGGAAGAATGGTTGTTCTAACACTTGCTGTGCCTCGGGTAGACCCTAAGGACACAATGTCCATTGAAATAAGTCAGTGTGCCTCGGGTAGACCCTAAGGACACAATGTCCATTGAAATAAGTCAGGCACGAAGACAACTGAAAAGCCATTATGGACGCACAGGTCTTTAATCCCAGATCTCTGTGAGTTCGAGGCCACTCAGGGCCACATGAAGGAGACACACTGATGTCCATGGGTCTCCAGGTTTAGAGTCAGAAAGTAGACCGTGGTTTCCAGAGGTCAGGGGAAAATGGGAGTCAGTGTTTAGTGAGGCAGAGAAAGTTCTGGAGATAAATGTGGGTAATGGCTACATGATGTGAATGTCTTTAATACCCTAAAATTGCACACTTGAAAAATGGCAAAAAGGGCCATACATACATACATACATACATACATTCCCAGCCAAGATATATATAAAGGCATGATTTTAAAGAGAAATATAACTATTTGGTAGGAGTCCCTATCTTGTAAAGAATAATCATCTTTTTCTTTCTGTTTCCACGTACAACAATGGTGGCCATGTAGCCATTCTTCCGTGTGCTTGTTAGGCCATCAGAGCCGTGGGAAGACGGAGAGGCACTCGACCTCTTCCTGGCCTTCTTATGTGGAACCCCTGACAGGGCTGTGATTCTTGTTCTCAGGATACACAGGTGGCCGTGGGCCCCTTTGACCCGTCAGAACTGCTGCCTGCCTGCCGGGATTACTGGACCTACCCTGGCTCCCTCACCACCCCGCCCCTAGCTGAGTCAGTCACCTGGATTATCCAGAAGATGCCCATTGAGGTGGCTCCAAGCCAGGTGAGCGCTGCAGCCGAGTCACAGTTCCCAAGGAGGTCATTTTTACCTCCGTCTTCATCAGGGTGTCGTGGCAGGGCATCACCAGACTCCATCCTCCGGCACATCTCTGGCATATGCAATGGAGGTCTGAAGTCACACCTCGGGTACCACGCACCTTGTGTTTGGAGACAGGCTCTCTCATTGGCATTAGGCTGGGCTGGCTGACTAGCCCCGGGATCTCTCTCCCCAGCCCTGAGAGCTGAGACTGCATGAGCACACCATCCATGCCAGCCTTTTTCACATGCTTCCCAAGGCTGGAACTCAAGGCGAGTGCTTTACTGACTGAACCACCTCCCCAGCCCCATTGGCACATTGCAGATGTTCCTGAACAGCTAGAAGGATTTTACGTTTGCATGGGAGTCCTTGAGTACAGGGCCCCGTGATCACACTCGGGGTGTCGATGGAGCTAGCGAACATCATCTTCCTTGAGGTCCAGGTGTGGCTATTATCCTAATGACACGTAGCTAGTGTGCCTGGGAAAGTCCGTGTAAGAACAAAAGTGATACCAACTTGGACCTGAGTTCTTGCCCATCTCATCACAGGAGTTCAGTGGGGGGTGGGGGTGTATATCATGGCACATGACACACAAAGGACTCCTTCCCTACCTGTGTGGCTCACTCCGTGGCTGACAAGTTGGTGCTTGGGGCTGGGCCTCAGTACCCTTCTGTGGCCTTTCTATGGGGCTGCTGGGATTCTGTCATGACTGTGGGCCCGCCAGTCCCAACAAGATGGCAGCTACAGTGCCGCTAATGGACCTTCTGGGGTCACTGGCCCATTATACTGTGTTGTGTTGGTCACGTAGGGACACCTGTGATTCAGTGTGGGAGGGGACACCTGGCACCTGTCTCCCCCAGGCTGGCCTCAGCTCACTCTGGCTGCCCTCTTTTCCAGCTGGCAGCATTCCGCACGCTCTTGTTTTCCGGACGTGGTGAGGAAGAAGAGGCGATGGTGGACAACTACCGCCCACTCCAGCCCCTCCTGGACCGGGAAGTCCGTGCGTCATTCCAGGCCACTAGGGTGGGAACGTCTGCAAGGGTAGGCAGAACGGAGTGAAAACGAGGTGTGCACTTTGCAGGGGTGTCATGTGACGTGACACCGGGATTAAAAAGAAGACGAAATCATTACTCCAGTCAACCCACTTTTTCTGTTGCAAGTAAGGGAAATACTTGAAAGAAACTGAAGGAACAGGGCTGGAGGGACAGCTCAGCCTACAAAGAGCTTATGTGAGGCCATAAGGACCTGAGTTCAGATCCCCAGTATCCGCCCAGAAAAGGTGTGCATGTAAATCTCAGTGTGGCGATATGGAATGTGGAGGCAGGGGATCCCTGGGAGCCTGCAGGCAGCCAGCCAGGACTGTGTCATAAAATTCCAGAGAAGTCTTGTCTCAAACAAAATGTGGAATGTATCTGAGCACTGATGTGACGACCTCTGACCTGCACATGCCAAAAGTGCATATTTGCATCTGTACCAAAATACCCAAATCATTCACATGTGTATGCGCGCGCGCACACAAAGAAACTTAAGCTCATAGGGTAGAACCCTGTGGCCATCTCAGGAGACCCAAGACAGGTACAAGATGGCCTTCAAGATGGAGCAAGTTGCCGGAGGTGGTGGCTCATTCCTTTAATTCCAGCACCAGAGAGGCAGGGGGTAGGGAATGGATCTTTGTGAGTTTGAGGCCAATGGTTTACATAATGAGTTCTAGGACAGTCAGGGCTACCTAGTGAGAGCCTGTCTCAAAAACAAAACAAAATAAAAAAAAACAAAAGCAATAAAATCCTAAACAAATTAAAAAAGACTGAACGAATCACCTACACTCGAATTGTTTTGTCTGGCTTCTCAGCTCTGTTCTCTCCTCTTTGTGCGTCATGGCTAGGGCATCCAGAGTCCTCAACAACACAGATGGTGAGACCAATATCTTCTTCTTCATTGTCAAACCCAGGGCCCCTCTAACACATTATGGCAGGCTTGAAGAACCCCAAGTCCATCCATTCAGAATTCAGGAAGACCAAGGCTGTAGTCAGGGTGTGAGCAAGGCCCATTCTTTCTAGAGGCCCTGGAGAGAATCAGTATACAGCCCCAGGCTGGTAAGGAATTTATCCTCCTCCTCCTGTGATCTAGCCCTACCGCATCCTTCTGGAAAGAGCCCTCATGATTGTCTGGCATCCACACACAACCCAGGATGACATCCCATCTCAGAGTCCCTGAAGCCAAATCACACACCCTTAGGGTGAAGATTAAGACGTGGGTGTCTCTGAGGAGCATGGTAGTCCTCCCCTCAGAGCCCTTGAGTCCCTTGACATTCAGGAAGGCATACGGTATAAAGTAAGAGGACCTTGAAAAGGAATACCTGCCTTCGCCACTAGATTGCGCCTAGACACCCCTCTGTTGTATGCCCTTCATGTATGTTGTCTGCTCTACTTTACCGGAAAAAAAACAGATGGCATGTTCACCTGCCAGGGCCTGGACTGTGTTTCCGGATGCCTCACCTGGTTGTGGGGCCAAGGAGAAAGAAGTGCCTTTAGCAGGGTACACGGCCTCACTCTGCTCCACTAGCCAAGTGACCGTGGTGACCTGGGGCCTCTGTGATGACCTCCCTAAAAACATCACCCCACATGGCATCCTGGCCTCCAGCTGCCTCACCCTGCTCCACCAGACTGAGCCTCCAGCTTCCTGCCTGGGATTCTCCACCCTCAGATGGCCCTGCAGCTCATCACTTCCTGGGTCTCTGGCAATGGTTCACCCTTTGTCACAGTCTGGGCCTTATCCCTACTGTTTCTTCTTGTGACCTCTCAGCCCAATGGATACAGTGTGTCCTGGGATCCATCTCTCTCTGTTAGCCTTCATGATCAGCCTCCGAGGAATCAAACTCCAGTGGAGAAAAGACAGTTCTGCTGAGTCTCTAGAAGAGCCCTTGGCATATCACAAGACCCTCAGTGTTTATTTCACAGAAGAACAGGAGCTGCCGCCTGTGCCTGCACCTGCTCTTTCCACCACAGAGGTGAGCCTGCGCACATCACACAGCGTCAGGAAGCCAAGAGGATTGCCAGGCTCGGAGGCATCACCTGCGCTCTGGATCAGGACTACTTGAGGCTCCACCACCTCTTCCAGGTGCCAACAGGGCTCTTTTTTTTTTTTTAAACTGTTTGCTTGCTTGGAAGAAAGAAAATCCCTATCCATATGGTAGTTATTAATTTCATGACATTAATTTTTTTTTCCCCTCAGGTAGAAACACAGTTCAACAAACAACCTCCTCGTGCTAGCTTCAAACATCCCTTTACTGCCAGGTACACAATGAAAAACAGCACGGAAAAACAAGCAAGCACTAATCTGCTTCCCAAGGCACACTGTGTTTTACTGGGGAAAATAAAGAATAAATATGTATTCTGGTCCACAAATAGCATGCCAAATCAAAGAGAGCTTGTGTAGCCCCTGGGTTTACTTTGGCAGTGGTTTATTCCTCTCCCACCCCAGCGCTTCCTATGGTATCAACAACATACAGCCAGACAGTGTCCTGGAGTAACTACAGAGAAGAAGCAATCTGGGCTTCCTGACACACTTCCCCGTGGAAGAGCAGTGTAGAGGTCAGTGCGCATCTGTGACCAGGGCAGTAGTAGCTGGCCCAGGTGCAGCAAGCACCTGAAGGTCACCCTTGACTTCCAGGCACTTTGAGTGTCTTGCTGTCGTGGCTAGCAGCAGAATACTAGAGGGCCAAGTGACTCTGTCAGCTCAGATGTGACACAAGAGGGGAAGTGATCTTCGTATCTTCAACTGGCACCCAATATCCATTCTTGAAACTTAAGGAAAGCCAATCATTCTCAAGTCCCTAGTGAAGGATCTTCAACCCACATGAACAAATGGCTCCAACAAGAAAAGATCACATATAGACATATCTGACATCCTGGTCATGCGTGAGAGTGAACACCCATAACTGTAGCACATGGGGTGCTGGAGCAGGGGTCTCATGTTTAAAATCACCCGTCGAGTCTCATGTTTAAAATGACCCGTCTGCTCTCTGTCTCCCCAGGGCTGAGGTTTCAGGTGAGCATCACCATGCTCAGCTCTTCGTAAAGATGAAACCCAGGTCCTCAAGCTTGCATGTCCTGCCCTCTGTGCATCATACAAGGGAAAAGGCAGCATCAGTGAGAGAGAAAGTCCTGAAGTCTAAACGCAGGCATAAAGCTGCTTCCACTGGACCAGACCTAAGGCGCTTGGACCTCGGGTTCTGCGAGCAAGAGGCCTCTTTTGTGGTGTGCCAGGAAATGCGACTGGGACCCAGCTCTCAAGATTTGAACTTGGAATGAGCCAGAGAGAGGAGCCATGTGTTAACTGTCCATAGGCAACCATTATCATGGGGTCTCTGAGGCAGAGAAGGCAAGATGGGGGCACCTACAGAGAGGGAGGGGCTTAGCTCCACTGTGGCCACCATGTCACATCCAGCAAGAACTCAGGCAGGATCCTGCAGCGACTCTTTTCTCTGAAGGTACGGATGCCTTCGTCTCTGAAAAACATTCCCCTTTGTTAGCTATTTTTAAAAAGCCATGTTAGCCTGGGGACACTGATACACTCCCAGGAAGAGGACTGAGCCTGGACACATTGCTACAAAACTACAAACAAAATGAGAGGAAAAGGCTTTGATATCAGCCCTCAAAGGCGACTCAAAGGGCAAAAAACAAAGGAGACTCCCTCACAGGCCTGAGCGCTCTGTCCAGAACCCACACACGCCATTGTCTCCAGACTATCTGGCTCAGCTTTGAAAGTTCAAGGCTCTCTCCTTGGCTCTTGTGTTATTTTCTCTAATTGTAAGGATGCAAATGTGTGAGAACTCTGGCTGGGTCCACGTGAGGAGGCCACACTAGACCAGTCTCCCAATACCATCTCCTAGGAACAACAGACAGTCTCCTCAGCATGCCCACCCCTGTGCCTACTCTGCAGCCCATCGTGTGACCTGGGTCATCACCCTCTCCCAGCCCCAGAGCATGTATGGCCATCTGAAGGGACCCGAGAGTAACTTCTCCCCTTGCTGGATACCCATTCTTTCTTCCCCTGAAGTGGTGTCCTTGGGGAAGCCCCCAAGGTCTAGGCTGTGTCTACATCCAGCTATGGTCTGTGGTCAGTGGGTACTGCACAACTCAACACATGTCCCTCTGTGGACAGCTGGGCTGTTACGCCTGCCATCATAGCCCCGTTTGACACTCAGAGGCCCTTCCACGACAATGGAAGGCTCCTACATCCACCCAGGGCCACAGACAGACTTAAGGATGCCTGCCCTCTTCAGCTCCTACTCACCGTGTCTAAGGAATCAGTGAGGGCCTGGCAGTGGGACACCGAGATCATCAACCCTTCCAGATCCCTGCAGTTTCACGCAATGTGTCATGCCCTGACCAGTCTCCCCGACTTTCGACTTAGCCACTGTCCTTCCTCTCCCTGATCTCACCAAATCAGGGGAAGTGTCAGTGTGTGTTGTTGTGAAGCAAACATAATCCTTTAGCTTCCCTGTTCCAGAAGCTCCTTGTGGTACAGGGTTAAGCACCTGTTTCTCCCTCTGGGAGCCAGGACCCCTCCCTCTCTTACAGAGACCAACAGCTGTGTATGTGGCTCCCTGACTGTTTGCAGGAGCCTCTTCTTCCTACCCTTAACTTCCTCCTCAGCCATTTTTCCTGTGGGGCCTCCCGGGTTCTCCCTGAGCACTGACATCAGGGTGGAGAGGGGACATGCAGGGCTGCCTCTCTCTGAGGAATTAAAGCACAGAGAACTGGGGCAGAGGAACCAGTAAGGCCTGGGAGATGAGAGGGAGCAATGCAGAAGCCCGAGGGGCCTAAGGAGCTGCCCAAGAGCAGGGTAGGGTGCTTCACTTCTGGCATTTTGTTTTCTGAGACAGGGCTTTATGTAGTCCAGGCTGGCCTGGAACACATGATCCTCCTGCCTCAGCTTCCAGTATGTTTGGTTGGTTTGTAGGTGTTTGCTGCCCAGTACTCATGGACGAGGGGATCAAATATCTTCTTTCCCAGAGCCAAAATGATCCCAGTTTGTTCCTCCACTGGCTTCATAGTACAGGATCCTGTTCTCTGCAAGAGTCATTAAGAACCGGGGCTGAGGGCTGGAGAGATGGCTCAGTGGTTAAGAGCATTGCCTGCTCTTCCAAAGGTTCTGAGTTCAATTCCCAGCAACCACATGGTGGCTCACAACCATCTGTAATGAGGTCTGGTGTCCTCTTCTGGCCTGCAGACACAGACACAGACAGAATATTGTATACATAATAAATAAATAAATATTAAAAAAAAAAAAAGAACCGGGGCTGAGTGCGCTCAGGGCATTGCGGTTCTTTGGGAAAAGGGCTCGTCCTATGCACCTGCTCTGTGGTTTCCTTGCAGGTCTGAGCACCTGCAGTTGGGGTTTCAAAAATCACTAGTGAGGCCAAACAGAAAGAGGCTCACAGAGCCTAGAGACCCAAGAAGGTCCAGCTATCTTCTCATGCAAGGCACACTAGGCTCCAGACACTCCGCACACTGACCATCTCCACTGAGGGAGACAGAGCTGCTGGAAGGCGTGTGCTGTCTCAGCTCCTGTGTACCAGTGTCCACTCCCACTGCACAGAGACAAACGAATGGCCTGCTGGAAGGACAAGCAGAGGCTGCCGTTGACAGAGGCCGTGGATGCTCACATTCACCTCAAGCGTGTGGCTAGCATTGCTC